TCCACCTCTTGAGGACAGTGGCAGTGGGTAGAATGTGGTTGCAGCATTTGGAGACCAGGACATTCCAGGAGAGACAATTGATGGCAATACTTAGTAGGGGCTTCCAGGCAATGTCGGCAAGGACCTGCGATGGCCACTGGTTCCTATCTGCCAAGTATGCATGGTATTGGGGAATCAGACAAGAGTCTGTGAGAGCTCTTTTATATTGGCTGGTGACTGAGCGGGATTGGATCTAGAGAACTGCTGGGCATGATGGTAAGACTGGAGTGATGATATTAGGTGTTGCCATTTGAGCTTGAAAGGTGCCAGCATAACCATCAGCTTCAACATTCAGTTGGGCTGGAAGAGGGAGTTGATCAAAATCAGTGGTGTCATTTTGATGACCTTTCACCCAGGAGAAAGAGCATGTGATGTTTGGATTCTGAATGGTTTGAAAGATCTGTTCAATGAGATCAAAGTCTGGTGCCATGGTGGCATTTTCATATACCTCTATATATTCACATCTGGATTGGATTCTAGTGATGAGGGCCTTGCTATCACTGATAAAAGTAACCTGTGTTTGGCAAGCTGTTGCGGTGCCAGAAGAAGAAGATGATCAGGATGTACTTTCATCAGAAGAGGGAGGAGATGAAATATGGTGATGTTTGTGCTGAAGGTGCAGATCATTCAGTTCGCTGATTAGCTTTCAAAAATTGTTCTTTTCATTCCCAGGGCTGGAATGAATTAGAGATTTTCTGTGATTTGGGATGGGACTTGGAGGCCTGCCCCCCTTGTAGTGATGGCACATAATGTGGTGTAGTTAATTTTGGCAGTTGTATTGAATTTGCCTGTTGATGCATGCAAGTTGTATTTGTCAACTTCTTTCCATCTTTGAATAGTTGAGGCTTTAAACTTGATCTCAAAGGTTGTAGCGCCATTTTCCACTAATAATTCAAGTATTGCACGTGCAGATTGTTTACTGAAGGTGGGTTGATTGTTAATCAAAATGATGTATGCACCAAGAGCTTGATTTTGTGTAGATTTGTAAGTGGAGAACATGGCAGCAGCACTTGATTTCTTTGTGACATCTTTTAGGAAGGCACAACCGTTTAGTTCATCTTTGTCAAGCTCTAGTCCAAAAGTGGGACTATTGCACTTGACACAAGCTTCTTTGGTAACAATATTCTGAAATGGTGATATATAGAAACATAGGTCATTGTCTTTAGTTTCTGGTTCATCTGAAGATATGGTTGAACTGTTTTTTCAGAACGTTGTAGGTGAACAATGTTTGGTGGGATGTCTTGTGTCTGTAGGTCATTTATGCCTTCATCAAAGCAAGCATGTGATGCAATCTTGACACAGTTGGTTTTGAAGTCATACCAAAGAATGTTCTTCATAGTCTGAAAAAGGAGACCAAGAAAAATACCTTTCTTTGAGTTATTTTTGAATTTAGCTGGTCTTCTGCCAGGTGGACATACCCAAACTCTAGTACAACCAAAGGTTTCAAAGTTTTGAAAATCTTCTTTCTTGCCTGTGGCAAGCTGCAGTGGCAATTTGGTTTGTGTATGTTTTGGTAAGGCATTCAAGATCCAGAGTGAGTGATGAAAAGCATAAGGCCAAAATTTGATTGGAAGGTCAGCACCCAAGAGTAGACAATGCAATCTATCAGCAATTGTTTGATGTGCTTATTCTACTGGTCCATTTTGGTGTGAAGAATTGGCACCAGTTGATCTTATTTGATATTTTTTGTGCAAAGAATTTTCTTACTTCTGTACTATGGTACAATTCACCACCTTGGTCCATGTACAGGTATTTGTCAGAACAATTTGGTGTGTTTATATCTAAGAATTTCTGGAGCCACATGATTGGAGAAGCTTTCGAGAGTCATGTATCACCAACCAAAATGTTTCTTCATTGATTTTGCAACAAGCTGAGAGGGGTGGGTCTGAGAGAATGGAATTCCAAACATCTCCTGGTTTTCGTGGCAGTGATCCTGCAGGAAGCACATGGCATGAAAAGGGCTAGTGACATTGAAAGCCTAATCAAACAATGGAGGATCAACCATTGGGATGCAGGACAGTGTGGTCCTCTCATTGAAGACTTGGTCGCCCAGACTTGTCTCTACTGGACATGCCAAAATCAAAGCATCCTCCTCTGCAGAATCCAACAAATTGGGGCACAATGGATGGAGTTTTTGAACCTTACCCCAAGGTCCCTACTACCAAACTACCCCTGAGTATCACTCAGGACATAGTGGAATTGGTGGTTGTTAGGCTGTCGGGAGCAGCTGGTCCTGGTGGCACTGACGGGGAGGAACTCAAAACTTGGCTACTTTGACAAAGAAATGGTGGACCTGACAAATTGGTTGGCCAATCACCATCCTCCATTGGCCTCCTTTTGTGCCTTTGTGGTGTGCTGCCTTGTGGCACTCAACAAACAGCCCGGAGTTTGACCTGTTGGAATCAGCAAGATCTACTGGCGACTTGTGGCCAAGTTCATTCTCCACATTGAAAGCCCACTTGCAACAGACTGATGCAGAAATTTCAATCTAGTATGTGCTGGAATGTGAGCCGGCATCAAGGGTGCCTCCCATGCCATCTGAGAAGCACATATTCAGGCCCCCGCCAGGCCATCAACCCAACAATGCCAGACCAACGCACAGACAGACAGACAGACAGACAGACAGACAGACAGACAGGCAGACAGATAGATAGACAGACCAAGGCAAAACGGTGATTGAACAGCCACCCAAACCAACTTGTTGCCAATTTCAAGAAAACCTATGGCTGCAATTTAGCCTCCATCCTCTGTACCTCCTGAAGTGGTGTGGCAGATGCAGTGCAAGCTTCACAATTGAACATACCATGTCCTGCAGAAACGGGGGGCTTGTTCTGCACCGCCACAACAACATCACAGGAGAATGGCACCAGTTCTGTGCCAAGGCCTTGACACCAAGCAGTGTGACTGGTGAACCATGAATCCCCATCTATCAGCCACCACCCACTCACAAACACCGCCAGCGCGACACCCCACCACCGCCACAGGAGCTCAGAGGCAATCTCTCAGTGCATGGATTTTGAAAGTGGGGCACCACAGCAGTATTTGACATCAGGATCACTGATACTGATCCATCCTCTCATGCAAAGAAGATGCCAGCACTGTGTGTGCACCAGGCCCAAGAACAAGAGAAGAAGGACAAGTATCAGCAGGGCCCTTTTCACCAAGTTCACAGGCACTTCACACCTCTTGTTTACTCCATTGACGGCATGGAGGACCCAGCTTGCCTCCCAGCTTGCTTCCAAATGGGGGAGGAACTGCTTGCAAGTATGTGGCCTTGTCAGATCCAAAATTGGATATGCTTTGGCAAGAGCTGCTAGCAGATGCTTGCGGGGCACTCACGGCAATGCCAGATTGAAATTCAATCAGCCCCTTGGTTCTTGATTGGATCTCTCATTCTGGTGCCTGGGTGTATGCTCATAGAACCAGATTCCATCTTGTCTAAGTTTTTGTGCGTATTTTGGATGTGGTTTCTGACTTTGTTTTGGAGCTCTTAATGAGCTCAGAAATGTCAGAGCAAGCTCTGTATTCAGAGCTTGGTCCATCATCAATCAGAACAAGCCTGACCTCATTACCCCGTGTTATTTGTACGTGTTTTGACCGGGAGTTCTCACTCGATTGATTCAAGTTTTTCCTTGTACTTCTACATATGATTGTATGATCTTTAGTTAGCAATGCTTCAGTGTGACCTTAATTCTTTGTAACGCAACACTCCTCCTCCTCCTCCTCCTCCTCCTCCTCCTCCTCCTCCTACTCCTCCTACTCCTACTCCTCCTACTCCTACTCCTCCTACTCCTACTCCTCCTACTCCTACTCCTCCTACTCCTACTCCTCCTACTCC